ATTCAAATAATTCACTAAAATATAAAACTAATTACTATATTTAAAATAAGGATAATTCTATTTACAACTACATACATATTACTTATTATCAACAACACAAATGATCCATTTAACATAAAACCTAAAAATTTCATGGGGAGCAAAAGAAACCACCGATGTGACATCCACTACCGAGCTCGGTTCTAGCATAGGATCATCCTATGGAGGAGCATGTGAGGGCACTACTACCGGTGATACTGCTAATGGTGATTCGGATGTGTTGATCACGTGTCCGGGGTCGAAGCATTACTACAACCATGACCACAAACATCAAATCTAGTTGAGCTGGATGCTCGGTGGCGATGACCTAAACCACGAGTCATTACACCTACAATATCATATCATATAGCTTAATAAATGCAAAAAAAAAAAAAAAAAAAAAAAGACTACCTCGGAGTTCAATAAATTATTTCTTATAAGTCAAACAAAAATTTTATGAGTCGTGATTTGGCACATCGTCGGTGTTAGATAAAATAAATGATGAACCAGCTTATGCATATTTGATCAATATGGTACATGTCAAATAAAAAAAAAAGGTATTATCATGCACTAAACACATCATAGTATGCACGAATGAACTATCAAACAAAACACATACCTAAAGTCCTAAAATTTCATACTTAGCTAAATATGGCCTATCAATTTTACCTCACATGTAGAACCATTTTCTAAGCAATTTCACCTTCATTCATTCATAGACATCCGAATCAATATTAATCCATCATAATTTAAGAAAATAAGTATTCAATTTAAAATTTCTCATTTGGTCGAATGTTACCAACAATCAACTCTAAGGTTTTTCACATTCAATCACATTGATATAAGTTATCCCATCACATTTAACACTAATTTTTCATTAAACCCTAACGATCATCGTATTTAAGGTTTTTAGCCGAATGTCTCTCTTTAGCTACTCTATATAAATTTTTCTATTTAAACACATTTAATTCTACTTAATCCATTATGGAACCACATAATCTCACCATTTTACCAATTAATTCACTTGACCCTAAAAATTGGGATTTAGCCAAATTACTCCAAAATAAACATCCAAGATCATTGTTCTCAAATCAAAATATTTAACCATACCACTCCCGAGCATAATTAAACCGAGTATTTCATGAAATCAACTAGTTCTCCCTCTTTTTTTTTTTTTCTCACTTGGCTAAAACCCTCTCCTTCAATTACCCATTCATATCTTTCAATTACATCATAGATGCACTTCAAACATACTAATCAACTCACCAAGATCAAGAACTCCATGTGAATTCAACGTAATTCAAGTATGTACATTAAAGGACAATTATAGAGCATAAAACTTAAACTTCCTAATTTCATCAATTCATCAATCAAGCATCCAAAATTAATAAATCTTGTAGTGTAGTTGAGATTACACTTACCTTAATGATGCTTGATGATCAATTAGATTGAAGCTAGTCAATTCCTTTCCAATTCTTTTCTCTTTAGATTCGACCAAATTTCTTCTTCTACCACTCTCTTTGTTTTGTTTCCTTAAGATTCCTATTGATAATTATATGATGTTTAGATGGCTAATTGGGTGGATTTTTAGGTTGATCTTTGATTTTCCTTAGTTTTTTAAATGTTTAAATATGGTTCATCAACTCTTCCTTCCTCTCCTCTTGGCCAATTATAAAGGAAGAGAATTACCTTTGATTAAGCCAAATGTATGACACTTGGTTTAACCAAGGCATTTCCTTAGCCTTGACATTTTTCTAAAATCTTCCTTACATTTCTTTCTTTATTTTTTCCTTGTTTTCCTTCATATTGGTCAAATAATTCATCCCTTCTACAACAATATACTTTTCATTTTTCTTAGTTGAAATTCAACCTAGTTAGGTTGAGTTAATTAATCCATCAAGTGACCCAAAAGTTATACTTTGGTCCTCAACTTTAATTCATAAACTCAATTATACCCTTATATTTCGATCCCTTAACTTTTAATTGCAACAAATTAGCCCTTATCCTAGGCATTTCCAAACTTCATAATGGTCATTAAATTTTCTTAATCATTTCAATCAAGTGTCCAACTTCTAATTTCTTTCGATTAGGTCTTTAGGGCTTATTAGTTATACCCTTAAAATTTTAATGTCTTACTAATTAATTATCCATACTTACTAATTTAAATAGTAAATATTTCCTTCATACCTTTCAAATTTTTATGCATGCACGGTTATATTTTTCATGCATACATAAATATTAATTCATTCATTAATTTGATACCTAGTGAATTAATATGCATAGATTAGAATAATTAACGCATACATTAAAATAAATATTCTTACATGGAGAATTATTGAAGGAAAGAGATTTTAGATCATGGATGTTACATTTCGTCGCTGTTTTTTTTTTTTTAATTGCACTACTTTTCCTATAATTTGTAACACAATGTTCCACCACTAACTTATAGCAATAGACTAAATTCAATTGCTCAATCCATCTCTAACTTAAGCTTTTTCTTCTTTTTTAACAATGAAAATAGTCCATCATAAAAATCATCTTCCCATATCGTGCTCAAAACTAGCCACAAGAAACACCATACATCGCTACGACCCCTCATAACTTCGTTGGTATTCCGTGGCTGAATTAATCGCCAAATATTTATTGTGTAATTCAACAACAACGGTGTTCCATCCTTTAATTTGTCTCGTTAATCGATCGGTATTTCATTGCTATTATCCCAAATATCAAGAAATTGATAAAAGTTATTACTCATTCGTTAATATGTCAATGTATGTCGACAACTTCATGTCGATCATTGATTTTCATTACTATTTAGTAGGGTTTTTTTTGTAGTGTTACTTTTGTGAGTTTGAATGGAATAATCATATATCTTAAAAAAATTATTTCATGCTTTTATTGATATTGGAAGATAGATAATTGGAAGATAGATAATAAGTTTTGATCAATATGTTTGATATGACTTAGGCGAAAATAACAAATAACTTATGGTTGTTCAATTATTGCATAATTTTCTATACTCGTAATGCTTAATTTTATGCTATTTTCTCGTTTTTTTACTTGTATTAGTTTTAATTTATATTTTTTAATGTTTTGCTTAGATTTTCATTAAGGAAAAGGAAAAGAAATGAAAATTTAGGATTTCAGCTTTAGTGGGTCAACTTGGAATGCAAAACTGTTTAATCCAACTAAAGAAAAATCTAAGAAAATTATGGATGAAATCCCTATATGTCTAATTTCTTACTCTTAAACGGTTCATGAATTGAAGTCTTCTAAAGGAAGTTATGATAGTTTAAACAAAGGAAGGTTTCTCTATGTGTCTAAATTGTGGACACATAAATGAAAATTTTATTTAATTAAGATTTCTTCATTATTCATTAAAGACACTTAATGAGGGATTATATGGGAAATTTTCTCTCATCTTAAGGTTGCCTTAGTCCTTAAAAAATATACAAGGAAAAAGAAAAATAAATATATAAGGACAAAGAAAGCGCATAAAAAAAATAGAGAGAGGGAGTTGGAGACTTTGGAGAGACATAATGGAGGAATTATGTAGAGGACCCAAAATTATCCCAATCATCCAACCACATGGAAAAAAGGAGCTTTTATCTTATGTTTAGTTTTATTTTTTAAGTTTTAATTTATTTATGAAGAAATTTTTTTACTAGCGTTTTTTATGTAGTTTGAATCATTGACAATTTCTATTTATTTGAATTGATTTTTTTAATCCACGCAAAGAGTTTATTATTGTTTATAGAACTTTTGAATATCTAGCCAATATTTAACTGATTTCTAATTATGAAATGAGACCGGAAGGAAGATGTAATTATGTAACCTATGTAATAGACTCCATAAGAATATAGTTGGAATGGAAGTAAAGACTTTACTTGTGCGAGTTTAAATTGAACGACCATAGATCTTAAAAAACTGTTTCAAGCTTATAATTGATATTGGAAGATAGATAATAAGTTTCGATTAGAATGTTTGGTATGATTCAAGAAAAAATATATATCAACCAAGTTATGGTTTTCAACCATTGTATGGATGATTAAAATTAGATTGTCAATCATCTAAGTTAAATAGAGTTGATTCAAATGAAATCAAAATACTCTAGTGCTTGATTAATATTACTTTTTCTTTTGTTATTCCTTGCTTTGCTAAGATTTAATTTACTAGTTTTATTTTCTTTAACTTAAGTTTTAACGAAACTTTTCCTATAGTTTAAATAATAAAAGGGTTAATAAAATTATCGTAATTAATAACAATCTCTGTAAAAATGATATCTTATTCATTATTTTATTACTTGGTCGATTTTGTATACCCGAGAATTTTTCTATCATTGTTGCCTAAAAATCTACTAAAAAATCTTTAACAAGAAATTTGAAAAAAAAAACATCATATGGTTGGAATAGCAGAATGAGGATAAAATAAATTCGACACCACCTAGAGTTAAATTCATTCTAATCTTTAATTTATCATATTGAAAGTAAGTGAGAATTGAAAGTGGTATGATAGGGTTTTTTTTTTTTTTTTTTTGAGAAATTAATCCTCTTAAATTTTATCATATTTTTTTTACTAAGAAACATTCCCCTTTTCAATTGATTTGTGGTTTTTATTTTTTGTTAATTTTAATTTGTTTATTATTATTATTATTATTATTATTATTTAAGTGATATTGAGATATTTATAAATTTTCGGGATAGAGTTGAAATTTATACATGTTTTCGTTGCTATTTCTAGTGGAAATGCATAAAGGTGAGAAAAGATATGGAAGCTAATTGAAAGAAACTAGGGATTTTATAAGTTTTAGGTGTAACCCGTAAATTGAAATTTACGCTGGAAATAATTGTTTAAATGTTAATCCATTTGTAGTTCTGTGGGATTAAAGAACAAAACGTGATGTTTTTAGTTGAGTGACAATGATAGACAAAAGAAAAGTAATCCTGACCATTGATTGTAGGGTTTTGCATCTAAAGAAAGACAGTCTCCAACTCCATGAACTCCTCCATCTAAAACAAAATAGAGAAAATAAATGGAGCAACAGATGGAGATATCGTCATCGCCGTCTCCGCCGCCGTCGTCGAGCTCCTCCTCCGATGTTGTATCTCGAGCGAGAAAATTGCTGTTTCGACGAATGCTAGTAGGAATAAAAGATGGACGGTTTTTCTTGGGAAGTTTTCATTGCTTAGACAAACAAGGCAACATCATCCTCCAAGATGCAGTTGAGTATCGTAACACCCGTCGCTCCTCTCCTTCTCCAATGGAACAACGTTGTCTTGGTCTCATTCTTATTCCTTCATCTTGTCGAACTTCTTGTCATGTCGATTGCTCTATTGAAGACCAACTCTCCCTCTTGAAGTTTCAATAAATCTGTCTGTCTTGCTATTTTCCTGTCGTTATGTTTACAAAATATGCAAAAACTACAGCTTCTGAAATGCCAATTGTACTGTTTTTTTTTTTAATTATTATTATTGCTTATTTATGTGGGTTCTTTATCATTATTTGATTTTCGTGTAGATTACTTAGTAATCATTATTACCAAAATATAGTGAAGGAAATTAAACATGAATCAAAGCCCAGGAAGGGTATGAATCTTGTGCGTGCATGATAGAACAGGAATGGGAGCTGTGACTCCCATCCACTCCTTTTCATCCCCATTAATCAACACCGACGAACCAATTTGATTTGATTATTCAAATTTGATTGGTGAGGGACTGGATTAGATTCTTGGACCAACATTATAGATTGGAGCTGCCTTGTGCTACTTAGTACATCTGCAATTCAACAATTGTCCGCAAAGAGAGTAATTTGAGAGGGAAAATGCAGTGACAGCAAATTCTAAGATTGCTTGGTCTGAACGTATGGTTTTTATACCAAAAACATGAATCATTCTAACGCTAAATTAATGAGTCTGCTGTCATCCAGCAGTTGTAAAATATGCAATTCCACGAATCTCGTTCCCTGAAGCGGTTCGCACTTCAAAAGACAAGGCTGAAATGGTGGGCGTGAAGAAGAGAAAACAGTACTAGATACCATATGAAACGGCAAAAAATACACGACCAAGTATTTCTATAGTACAAAAGATAAACATGATCAAAACCTATCTTTATAAGGGGTTCCATAAACAATAAGGATTGGTACAGTCTGCATAACCGTGTCGATTGGTATTGCAAAATTCACTCCAGAGGATGCCCCTGTCCCTGCAAAAAATGTGAAACCTAGATTACATATTCTGAACTTAGAACTGAATGACTTTAGTTTTTCCATTATGCACTTTTTTACTGCCATATCAGTTTGCTATACAGTTGAGGATAATGTCATTCTAAAAAGAGTTAGAAGATTCACCCTACTACTATTAGTTCAGTATTCAGTTGAGAACATTGTCATCCTAACAAACTACCTCAATGGCTAGGAAAATAATACCATCAGCTATCAGGTGCTGGAAAAATAAAAATAAATAAATCTAGGCACATCAGCTTTTGAAGATAAAGAGCCTACTCCCTACTTCACAACAAATATTTTTCAGGATTTAAGAACAGTTTAAAAAGGGTGTTTTCTTTTATCTCTTAATCTTCCCAGAACTTCTCACTTGAGAAATAGCATTAGCAGATCTGAAAGACAAACAAGCTCAAAACAACAACAATCGAGTTTACAAATGCTAAGACTATATACAAAGCGCTAACAAGGTTGATTTTCCCTTCTTCTTTTTTTTTTTTTTTTTTTTTTTTTTTTTTTTTTTTATTTTGGGTTGAGACGATATGATTTTGCTAATACTTCTAAAGAACCCTCAACTTTGGATGTCACAGAAGTCAACCTTTTCTAAATCACTTTGTCCAAGTCAGTGCTGATCCATTTACATATTTAAGATACAGGGAAAGTAATCTTTATTAAAAAAAAAAAAAAAAACTTTCCTCAAAAGGTTGAATGGAGAGAAACTGAAGAACTAAAAACCATTCTTTACCTTTTCGAGTGAAGGTAGCTGTGTTGACTCCAATGACATGTCCGTATGAATCAATCAATGGCCCACCAGAATTCCCTGTAGAAGTTCAGTAGATTACGAGTGGAATATTTAGCCAAGAGTGATAATAAAAGTACAATTTTTAACAGCAGGATAGATTTATATTTCCAATGCGAAGTTAAAACCACCAACAATATATAGTCAAAGTCAAATTGCCATCAAGTACAAGTAGCAGCAAATGAAAGCAAAGTCTCACAAAATCTACTCCAGAGAAGCCAATTTTTGCTCACTTAAATTAATTGCCTACTCTCATTTTACTCATTAGTCATGAAAAGGTAATAAATAAATGAGCTAGAAACTTAAAACCAGGATGCTTTAAAAATGTTTATTTTAAAGAAATGCAAGATACCTGCATTAATGTCTGCATCTGTTTGAATAGCCCCACGAATGGCCCTTCCATTTGGTGAAGGTATTTCTCTACCCAAGCCGCTGACCACCTGTATCATTCAAACTGGCTAGTCTATTATCATGGTTTTGATTATTTACTTAGTTAATTTATGTCAATATATATCTTGTGATATTTGTTCCAAATGACATGATTCAGATTTCTGAATCATGATTCCAGCAAAGGCATCATGCAGCAGCTAAGCCAGCACAAAAAGAAGAGCAAGTTAACAACTATTGCTCTTCTTGAATGCTTAATATAATTGATAATATCGTTTCCTAAATGAAAAAAGTTGAGCTGCAAGGAAAAAGACCTGGGTGTTTCTGTTTGATGTTTGCTTACAGTCAAGCAAACATACAAGTAGATAAAGCCATTGTCCTAAAAACAATCTATGTAAGAGGCACGTCATGTTGCTTAAGGAGTTACCCCTGTTGTTAGAGTATTTTCATATCCATAAGGATTCCCAATTGCAAAGCAGCTTTGACCCACATGTAATTCCCTAGAAGTACCAAGAGGAGCAGGCTTCAATTCATATCTGTCAACATCGACCTGCAGGTGACAGTAGGATAAGCATTTCCAAACATTGCTGCATTGCAAAGTCACGGTATGATAGAGAAAATTTACCTAAGAAATAAAATTAACTAAAAGTACTCATTTTTTATGATGACCAAAAAGAAAGGTTATGCAAAGAACTTTGTCAAAGAACAGAATCCGAGCGTGATAGGAGAAATTTGGCAAGAAATCTAGATAATAGTAAAAAGTAGTGGACATGTCAAAGCGGAAGATCACAAATGCCTTCACAAACAGTGTCTATTAGAAACTCCTTCAGCCAAATCCCACTTCGATTGCTGAGGAATGGGTTTTCAATATACACCCACTTGGAATGCTGAGGAATGAGTTTTCAATATACAAAAAGGCAGATAAAGCTAATTAATAAAAACATGTGCATCTTAGAGACTTGGTGGAATTATGTTTGAATGAACTTCTACCTTGTCTTAATGCACCTAAATCCCCATGAAAGTTAAGATTCCATGAGAGCTTGGGTTTTCATTATAACAGAGTATGCAGCAAAACTAAACAAAGTGCATCATAACTAAAGCCACCTAATAGAGAATCTCGTTAAGTGAGACAACTCATCATATCCAGTAAGGATCTAGCATATAGATACGTCCATTAACAAAGTCGATGTTTTCAACAAACATGTTCATCTTCCATCATTTTCTGAACTTAACAGAATGCTCCAACATCAGTCCATTAAATTCCACCTTTAAGGAAGTTCCTGCTATTCCTAATAGTATCCAATCGTTGGCAGGAAAGTACTTTTAAGATCTAGAACTAGAATTTAAGAAAATATGTGGAAGAAAATAAATTAAATGTTAAGTACTCTCTTCATGTTTTTTTTTAAGGATAAAACAGTCATAAGGTATCTTGTGGGTTGTGGCAATTGGATGTGGCATTCGGATTTTTTTCAATGACATCAAATCAGTTAAATGTTCATAGTGACATCAAACAGGCCCTAGATCATAAAGTAGCTTATGCAACTCGCCCTGACATTGCTGGTCGATTTTGAATTTTCTAATGATGTCATCATGGTAAAGCCTAACAAAATGTACTCTGCAGATATCAAGAACAAGTTTAAGATATGCTGCCCAGAAGTTTGATCTGATACCTTAAGGACAGCCAGATCGTAAGATGGATCAAAACCAATGATCTTGCCTTCCCTGTACAAGCTATTGCCTGCAGCATCAACTAGAAATACCTGTAGGATAAGAGACCAGTAAAGCAATTTAATTCAGATGAAGGCCACTGCACTTGACCTCTCAGAAAAAGTATTTCAGCTCCATCATCCAAAAAGGGAAAAAAAAAAAAAAAACCAAGTTACAATAATAGAGAATGCATATTAATAAAAATGAAGACCTTACAACGCTGTAATCCACTTCTATCTGTGGCCAATTTAGCTACGACATGGTAATTTGTTACCTGTAACCGATGAGAACAACATTTTTCAAGCATATCATGGTTAATACCTGTGATAAAAAAGAAATAACTTTATTGAGCCAAGAAGATTGTTCAAGGATTGCAGCAGTTTGAATAAGTGTGATTTTCAGCACAATCCAAGCATGCATAAGATTATATATATCCAAAAATGAAAGACGATGGTTAGACACTTTAAAATATCCTGATTATTAACTTCATAATTTTCATTGAACAGCAAAGCAGTTTCTTCTTTAATCATTTCTTTTACCAAAGAAACTTGTAAACCAGGAAGCGATCACATGTAATAGCCGGAGATGAGTTTTAGAGTAAATAACATAAGAAGGGAATAAATACATACAATGTGACCAAACTTATCCCAGATGAAGCCCGATCCTGTTCCTTCAACTTTCACATTTTCATCCTCTGCAAGCATAACTTGATCATCAGGACTGTTGGGGACTTTAGCTAACTCAATGTCCTCGATAAAAACAACTGATGGTGAGGTTTCCTATATAATATATTTTAGAAATTGTCACTCGCATGAACATATACAATAACTCCAAGTGGCTTAACACTAAAGGAAAAGTTCAAGTCCATAAGCGGGGCCATACAAATATATCCCATGCAACTAAAACACAATTCAAACAAGCAAACATTCTATTTAAAATCAAGAAATCCTTTACTTAAGAGAAATTTCTTATAACACATCAAACCCATGTAAAGCATGGTCATTTTATTTGATTCATCATACACTGGTTCTGCTCCTGCAATAAAAATAAATGCATATAAAAAGAGAAGAAATTGTTAATGGCCATTTGTTTTGATTATATCATATGTCGAGTGACCAAATAATCGAACACTTTGTGACCCAATTGTTGTTAGTCACCCAAGAACCTAAGTGGGTCATTAATTAGCACATCTAAAACATATTAATCTCCTACTCAATGATTCAAGTCCCAAGCTAAAATGGGTGTGAAAGAGAGACCTGAAAGAGGTGAGTAACTCGATCCTCTTCTTGCTGAAGTTCATCTTGTTGTTGGGCAACAGCAGAGTGAAGCAAAGGTGGTTTTGAATTGGGATTTTGCAAGTTGAGTAGGGAAGCCAATACTAAAACACTGGAACCAAAGGCTATGGCTCTTCGTCTTCCAGAAATTGGGCTCTTATTATCTGAAGTAGAAACGGCAATCTTTTGGAGTTGGGAGAGAGTGGAGGGAGCATGCATTGAACACAACACCACCATGTTTAGCGACCTTCGCTGTCCAACTGATAACCGTTTGCTTTGTTGATTTTTAAGGGATAAAAGCAACAGCTAATTTGTCCATAATGCAAAATGTTTTTTCTTAGTCTGTTTTACACTCGTATTTGTTTTTTAATAAAAAATAATTAATTCTCTTGTATCTGGAGTTGAATTTAATGAGGCTGTTAAGTCTATTTTTCAGACCCTCCCAATTTCAGATTCCAAAAACCTAAGTAAATAATTAAGTTTTCATATTAATTTCAAATTTCATTAACTTAATTGAAAAACAAGCTCACAATTATACTTAGAATATAATTGATCAAATAATGTTTTACAAAAAATGAATTTCATTATAGAAACAAGCAAGGTAACTTTTATTTAGAAAGAATGTTTTGGTTGATTGTTATCTTTCTTTTTTTTTTTATTAATATAATCAACACCTTGTCTATTTTTCTATAACCTATGCAATATTAGAATCCTTAATCTTCCTTCAAAATAATAAGTAGCGACTCTGTTTTTTTAATTCTTTTAGTTTGTAAGCATGTATGTCAAGTAATGACAGCATAACAACTCTGTTGGAGAACTAGGATTAAGCTCTATACTTGTGTCCTTTTTTAAGTTCTTTTCTTAATTATCTTTCATGTTAATTTCAACTTATTTATTTGAAATAATTTATTTATTTATTTTCAAGCCATTTTACATTTCAGTCATTTATTTTTCTGAAATAGATATGTATGTTAGTTTTCGACCTCTACATATTTCACTAAAAGTCATCAAAAGCTTTGAATTCGACCTCTATCCTTTAGAATTATACTAGTTGGATATCCGTACTATACTCGCGATTGGATAACCGTTATATACATAAAATCAACAATTCATATGATATATTAGGATAAAAGTCTTATTTCTCGTAATTAATATAAATCAAATCTATTTATTGAGCAAAATCATTTGATTTATATATATTTATTAACAAAATAATCAATAATATTAGTATAAAAAATTATATTTGAATAATTGAAAGGTTCTTCTAAAAACTTATTTCAATTATTTTATTTAAAAATTATTGATTTTAGAACATAAAAAGGAATCAATAATAAATAATTGATGTCATATATATATATATATATATATATATATATATATATATATATATATATATATATATATATTATGACATATTCGATAGATTCGGAATATATAGTATAAATAATTAAAAAAAAAACATCTAAGTTGTATGGAATATATTAAATCAATGAATTGAAATAAAACTATTACAAAATTGGCTTCCATAAATTCTTAATTTATGATGAAAGAGATTGTTATTGCAAATTAAATCATAAATTAGTTCATCTCATTTGGAGACATGAATTATTTAATTCTTTTGGCTTCAAAAATAAAATTTTTAATTTTTTAATCGGTATCGATCATGAATAATTTTTTTTAATTTTATAAAATTTCTTTTTTCATATTTTACTTTTTTTTTTCTAAGATCATTTTTCTTAATCTTCCAATTTATCATTTTTCTTAATTCTACATGGTGGTCCTAAAAACGTAAAAAGAAATGAGGTATCTAGTTATCACTTTTATGAATCATTAAAATTTATTTGCACCTCTCTCTTTCCAATCTCTTATCTCAAAAACCATATCTACCTCCCTCTCGCTGCATTTATTTTTATTTTCTTCCTTTCTTTTTTTACTCACATTAATCTATATAATTACCCGAGAACGAATAAGGATCACTAAAACAATCCAACATAGGATTTCCCGATCTCTTTATACAAAACTAAGATACTTTTGATTGAACGAGATAATTTTTTTCAAAAAATAAAATGTCTTTTTTCATATTTTACTTATTTTTTTCTATTTCTTAAAACAAAAAATAGAAATAGAAAAATGGTAAAAAGGAAAAAAAAATTAGTTTTCAAACCAAAGGGACTAATCAATTTATTTCTCAAATAATTTTTTTTTCTATTTCTTAAAAAAAAATTAAAAATGGTAAAAAGGATAAAAAAAAATTAGTTTTCAAATCAAAGGGACTAATTAACTTATTTATCAAAAAAAGAGGGACCAAGAAGCAATAAAGAAATGTATGAATAAAGATATTAGGTGAGGAGGAGCTACGGTAAGTGAATAGTCTCACCTTCACTTCTTTTAATTTTTTTTCTTTTTATATAATAAGGACATTTAGATAGCGAATGCAACGTATTGTTCACTAATACTCATGTAAACATCCATTCGGATTAGAACTCACCTCTTTAGCCGTGCACTTGCGCATCTCTCTTAGTCATGTCTTAGCACATCCGTCATACTCCAAATTGTTATTAAATAAGTCAAAAATATATTAAAGGTGTGAGAAAGCTACTTCATGAGCATGGAATGATTGTAAAGAGGTTGATAGAATATTCGATATACTTAGGATGATTTTTCGATACTCAATGAGTATTTTAATATTTTTCGATGCATGAATAGTGACTTTTTATGTGAAAGAATTATTTTGAGTATGTTAAATATGCATAAAAAAACGTTTTGTTTGTATAGAATATTTGCTAGAGGGGTGTAAGATTATTCGATGCTATTGGATGAATTTTTCGAGGCTATGTGATTATTTTATTTGAACCATTCAATGCATAAATAGTTTTTTCTAAGTAAATTAATTAATTTGAGTGCTTTAAAGCTATAAGAAAATTATCCAATGAAAGTAGAAAAATCATTTAGAATTTGTAAAAATATTTTACAAACTTGGTTGAATTTTTCTATGCATAAGGATTATTTTCTATGGAAATAATTGTATTTCTACACTAAATAATTAATTAGAGGGCCTAAATAAGTATATAAAAATTTTATGAATGATGATTAAATTCTTTTAGGAGGTTTTTGAATTTAGTATGAAAATAAATTGAATTTTGCAAAGGTATGGAATAAAATTTTAGAATTAGGGACCTAATTGCAAAAAAAATTAAGAACCTAATTGCATAAAATTAAAAGTTTGAATTTTCAAATTAAATTAGATATAAACTTTAGGAATTCAAAACTTGTTAAAAAATATTTAAAGAAAGGACCTAAAGCAATCGATTGAATAATTGAGAGACTTATGGAGGAATAATTAGAGGAAAGATTAGTAACTTTAAGGATCAAAATAACACAAATTTTGAGAGAGATTCCTCCCCTATTTTGCTGACTTAGGGTGCATGGTTGGGGTTATTAATGAGGTTTGATTAAGCCTCGAAAGGAAGGGTTAAGATTAGGCTAAATGGAAGGCTAAATTGAAAGGAGAATTAAAAGCTAAGATGAAACCAATTGAAAGGGCCAAGATTTAAAGATGAATTAAAAGCTAGGATTGCACCAAATTAAGAATGGAGATTAATTCAAAAGTCCCCTAAAATTTCACCCCGTAAATATGGATGGTAGAAAATAGAAAAAAAAATGTAAGAAAAATAGAAAAATACCGGGAAACTCTTGAAAATTTTTCGTAGAAATTCCACCCAATTTCCTCCTAACCACCTCTAAATTGTAACTCCCGTGAACTTGCTTAACGTAGCTATACGTACAGAAATAATTTTATCTACATCTACTAAGTTGTAATTATGATTTTTGTGTAATTTTTGTGTTTGGTGAGTTTAAGATGCTTAGGTTTTTTAAAAAATAAAAAAAATAATTTTTGCAAACCAAAATTTAATTCCCGAGCCCAAATATCTCTTGAAATATCCATGATTATGGGAGCATAAATTATGTGCCATTTCTTTTATATTTGTGGTGCGAAAATATTTAAAGTTTATGAAATTATTCATAGGAATAATTTCTTTGAAATTTAATTAACCCTTATTTATTTTTTCATAATGTATATTTAAAATGACCATGCAAGTGAAAAATATGTCTCACTTAAGAGTCATGGTCGAATTTTATGAACCAAATAAGGTTAGAAAGTTGGTTAATTTAATTACCTTTTAGTTGCTCTCTTTAATTATTGATTTGACATAAAATCTTCTACCATACTTCCATTGTACTTTCTCACTTAATTTTGGAATGTCAAACACCTCAACTTACCTCTCTTTTTGTCTCCATCAATTGACCTCTCTTACCACAAAAAATGGACACTTGGCATATTAAACATAAAACAAATAAAAAAGAAAAGTATAATATTAAAATTGGATAAAAAGATGAAACCTTGCCATTCGTTTTAGTCAAAAATTCGTGCCCTTCAAAAAGAGGAGAGAAAAACTCGAGTTTGAGGGAAAGAAAGGAGAAAAAGAAATGGAAGAAAGAAAGGAGAAAATGAAAGGAAAGCAAGGAAGAAGAAAGAGAAGAAAAAGGCTAAGAAATCTTAACCAAACACACATCATTATAAGTAGGTTTCTTTTGATTTCATTTTAGTTTTCTTTATGCTTTAAGTTCTCTTTTACATGTTTGATTTATGGATTTTTTTAAGCCATGTAATATGTGGTTATGGTAGGTTGTGTTGATGTTAAAAATTTGATGTTTGGTGATGGATTTATGATGTTTTGATGATGGATTTACTTTGAATGTTGGATGTGTATTTTATGGTAAACTTTAGGTTAGAATATGTAAGTATGTCATCTATATGTATGATGATGGATGGTTATACATGTGTGATGGGTTGGTTTGGTGATAACTATATGTGATAAGAAATGTGTTTTGAAAAAAAAATTTTGAAAGAAAATTTTTGAATTTTAAGGGTGAAAAATTCTGAAATTTGCATGATTTATTTAGGGATCTTAAAGTGATTTCTGAGTAAAACTCAAAAAATAAAATTATTCATCTATGTGTCTACTAGCTATCCGTAAAATTTCGTGGCTTTTAGATCTATATATAAAGAGTTATGGCTGAATTGGTAAATATCATTTGGATATACCACTACCGGAAATTTTTGAGTTTAGGGAGAGTGATTTTCGAAATTTAATGGAAAGAAATGAGTTGAGGTACTTAAACTTGATTAGTTAAGGTGTTTAGTTAACCTACGTATT